TTTCCAGCTGAATTTGTGAGGTGTTTATCTCCACGAAGGAACTATATTTTAAGCTGAAATTTTTACCATAAACATAACTCATTGATACCTACAATAAAAAGAAATTTCCAAGGGAATCGAAGATGGTTGTGTTTTTTGTGGGAGAAACCCCATGGAAACACCCTAATGTAGTTATGAGAAGTACATAAAATATTTATGCACTGTATTTATTATTTATTATGATAAATTCGTTCTCACTTACACCGATAAAAAATAAAACTGATGAACATTTTCCGTTTCGCACTTCCTATGGACTAGTTCACTTGCGTTTATGTTTGCCTTCAAGTGCTTGTTGAAGCTATAGTGAAAGATAATCATTATCTGTAAGTACTAAAAGTAAAGGGAACTTACTTCATCAGATACAAGAGCACGACGTATAGCAATATTTATCGCACGATTGTGTTGAGGGCTGACCGTACAAACAAATTCAACAACCAAACTGTCACGGTTCTGCGTGCTTAAACTTGTCACTTGAATTGATTCCAAGCCTTTACCATGATGTTTACGGACTTCTTTCGTCAAAGCTTGTTTGAAATTTTCAACAAACTCTCCTTTCAAGTCGTGAGAGACTTTTTCAAGTGTCACACCATGAAGAACGAACGTAGAAAATATCTCTCGCAACGCACATTGAGAACACTCAGCATCCAAACGGCCGTCTTTACCAAACCCTCCGCCCGATGAACTTGTAATAATCTACATAAAGCAAAATAAAATCATTATCGTATTATAAAATACCGTCACTTATGATAACCAGAACTGTTTTTCACAACAAAACAAATAACATATTATATACTTACTCGACCAATATGATTACCAGGGTGATCTGGTTTCCCTTGAGCATGATGGGGTGATGGAGATCGGCGCGAACCAGGGGCTTTAGAATCCTTTGAACTATGTGGTTTGTGTACCGTATCGTCATCATCACTGGATTCCGATGAAGATGAGCCGTCACTACATTCCTTGTGTGGACCTACAAAACAATGACTGCCATGAAACTCTACCGATACTTTTCAGCAACAGCATTAACCATGATTTCCAAAACAACTTCGAAACGAAACAAAAATAAATCGTATTTTCCTAACAAACTCCTACACTTCTACCGCCTACGTCTGCTCCCCGCCACTCTAAACGCACTGCCTTCGATTCCATTCCCGATCACGCCCTTCTCTCATGTCCCAACCATCTCAATCCATCTTACCTAAAGCATGGTGTGCCGGCTTGTCTGATGCAGCGTGTTGTAGCTTACCCGTAGCACCGTGTACTGGTTTACTAGTGGTACCGTGTTTCGCTTTACCAGTGCTACCATGCGCGTGTTTACCAGTGGCACCATGCTCACCCTTGTCGGTGGATCCGTCTTTAGGTTTACCGGTGGCGCCATGTTCTGTTTTCCCTGTAACACCATGTTCAGCCTTGTGGGTGGGTTCGTGTTTAGGTTTGCCAGTGGCACCATGTTCAGCTTCACCAGTGGCACCATGTTCTGGCTTATCAGTCGCACCATGTTCAGCCTTGCCAGTAGAAGCATGTTCTGGTTTATCTGTGACGCCATGCTCCGCCTTGTGAGTAGATTCGTGTTTAGGTTTACCGGTGCCAGCGTGTTCTGGTTTTCCTGTGGCACTGTGTTTAGCCTTGCCTGTGGCACCATGCTCAGCCTTGTGAGTGGATTCGTGCTCGGGTTTACCTGTAGCGCCATGCTCAACCTTGCCTGTGGCACCATGTTCAGCCTTGTGGGTGGGTTCGTGTTTAGGTTTGCCAGTGGTCCCATGCTCAGCTTTGTGAGTAGATTCGTGCTC